CGCTGAAGGGAGAGAGAGAGAGAGAGAGAGAGAGATGAGAGTAGAATAACCTCGGCGGAAGCAGCCTCTGCGAGGCGCGGCCCTCCAACGCCCGTTCGATAGAAGCCAACTGGGTGCCGGCCAATAGCGATCGGCGCGAAACGATGAGACTGTCGCGCCATTGGCCGACGCGACTGGTTTACGTCGACATCCGGGGGTCGGGGCGACCGAGAGTCGGATGGAGATGGAATAATGCTACCGCCAGCATCACCGGGGGATTCTGCCGAGACTGGGAGTCATCTGGCGAATGCTGACGGAAACTGCCGCTATTCGGCACACGAGCGGCGGACATTTAGGATCTGTCGTGTTTTCTCTTCTTTTCTGACCTGGTTCTCCTCCGTCGATGAAGAACAGCGGTGTAGAAAAGAAAGAGACTGGGAGAGAAGTATATCGGAAGGACATATCGTATCATGAATGAATGAGTACATGTGTAAGATTCGAGGGTTGCGATCCTCGTCGGCTGAGATCCTCATCTCTGAATGGAACAGGAATTTCAAGAACTCGATTATGACATAGGAAACATGATGATTTTCCTTGGTCACGATCATTATTCCTGTAGATCGCGACTTGGTACCCGCTATCAAGGGTCGACGATGTATTACGAATGTAAAATGTTGAACAATACCACCGTTACGCTCGTAGCAGTCCACTTAGTTCTCAGACCGAGCTTGCCACGTCGTATCGCTTAATGCTATCGCGTTACCGAATTGATATGACAATTAATCTAGGCAGACAACTCGTGTACAACGCACGTACGAACGTGATTTATCTCCTTCATTCATTTATCTAGCCGCCGAATGACACAAAGTTATTTTCAAGTATTCTAAAGGCTTACTTCATTTGTGTGACTTCGGTGGGCTTCGCTAAAAAGATCGATCGCGTCACTGTGGTATTCATGACATCATCGATCATCGACAGGAAACGACTCCGGACGGAGGAACTTAGTGCGACCGCAAAATGGAAGCTGTCGGGCATCGTTAGCGGACCCCGACGGCCACGGCGGGAATGGCTGGTTCCCCGTTATAGTCTCCGTTCGGCAAACAAAAGTGGGTCTTTCCCTCATGCCGCACGCGGCACGAAAGTAATTCAAGACACCTGGCGGGAATGGTTTTAACGGATCTTAAAGATCGCTCCTCAGGAGCGTCTGCGAGTGCCGTGGTCCCGCGCAGCGGCGCGATGAGGGGGGCGGGAGACAGCTCCCTTCCCGATTGCATTATGTAAAATACGGCGTGGCGCGCTTGCCTAAGTTATCTCCCGGCGTAAGAGTAAATAAGTGCAAAGGTATAACGGTTAATTTCCGCATTAACCGCGTTTTATCGCAACGTTCTATCCGCGGCGGGCGGCAGCGGGTGCCCCGCTGCTTCCA